CCCCGGCACCCCACCCCAACCCCCGCTCGCCTGATTTTGGGCCGGCGCCGGGGCGTCGGTCACCCGCGTATCCACGCCCACGACGGCGGCCCCGGGGATGCTCTGGTTGCGGCTGCTCTCTGGGATGCGCCAGGGCTGCTGAACTCCACTGTCATCACCAATGACAGCCCCCATGTTCATGCCTGAACTCCTCGTTTGGTGCCTCTGGGATGGCGGGGCTGCACCGTCTCATGCCCTCTTCTCATTCCTATTCTGATCGTGCTCGCGCATGGCCCTGAACGCCTTCCCCCAGGTGCCGCGGGCCTGGCCTTTATCCGCGTGCAGGAGGGCGGCGCCATCGACGCCGCAAAGCCCATCAAGGAGGGGCTCAGCGCGGAGCAGGCCGCGGCCCTGATCGCCGCCGCGGGCGCGCAGCCGGTGCGGCGCGGCGCGCGCGAGGGCGAGGGCGAGGACGGGGAAGCGCCGGGGCGGCGGGCGGCGCCCTGGAGCCCAGCCTCTGGCGGCCGCCGCAAGGCGTCACGGCGGCCGCCGGACCGTCCCCGCCCTGTCAAGCGCAACCTCGTTCTGGTCTCTTCCTTTGCGCCACAACCCCTCCTCCTCCGTCTCCTCACACCAAACGCTCAGATCTTCTCTCGCAACTCAGTCCCGTTTCTCGCCCACCACGCCACTCCCGAATCAATTGATTCAAACTCTCAGGGAGACCTGCTGCTCCTCGCCGCGGGTCCCGAGGCCACCGTCCACCGCGCCTTGGACCGCGTCCGCCTCTTCCTCGGACGCGATCTGGGCCTGATCGACGCGTCCAAGGATTCGCTGCTGTGGGTGACGGACTTCCCGATGTTTGAGTGGAACGAGGACGAGCAGCGACTGGAGGCGCTGCATCACCCCTTCACGGCGCCAAACCCGGAGGACCTGGCGGCAGCGGACGGGGACGTCCGGGGCGCGCGCGCGCTGGCGTACGATCTGGTTTACAACGGGGTCGAGATCGGGGGCGGGTCGCTGCGCATCTACAGGTGAGTTGGGGTGGCTTTTTGCCGCCTCCGGGGATGAATATGCCGGGCGGGATAAGGATGCGCGATGGGGTGGGCCATGCCTGCATGACCTTGTTGGCGGCGCCGAGACGGCTCTTGTTGCGGCATTCGGCCGGATTCAGCACTGAGGGCGGCCCTTGTGCGCGGCTGGGGCCACGCCTGCCTGGCCAAAGGTACAGCGCGACGCGGCCAGCCGCGTGCCCTGCGCGGGAGCGAGCAAAGCCGCCAGCTTTTTGGTCCCTCTGAACTCCCGTCGTCACCCTTGATCGACTCCGTCGTCGTCCAGTTGCTTTTTTTGCTTACATGTCATCATCCAACCCCGCCCAACTCCAACCTCAACTCCATTTTTTTCCTGCAACAGGCGCGACATCCAGCAGCGCGTGTTCGACGCCATCGGCCTTAGCCAAGAGGAAGCTTCCGCCAAGTTCGGGTACCTCCTGGACTGCCTCGACATCGGCGCGCCGCCGCACGGCGGTCTGGCCTTCGGACTGGACCGGCTGGCGATGCTGCTGGCAGGGGCGCCGAGCATTCGTGACGTCATCGCGTTCCCCAAGACGACGCAGGCGCAGTGCCTGCTGACGGGCGCGCCGGCGGCGGTGGCGGACAGGCAGCTGGAGGAGCTGCATGTCGCGGTGGTGGAGGAGAAGCCCAAGGGGCAGCAGCAGCAGCAGCAGCAGCAGCAGCAGCAGCAGCAGCAGCAGCAGGCGGCAGCGGACAGCAATAGCAAACAGTAATGCTGCCCTGCTCTTGAGGCTCTTGATCGTGGGGGCCGGGGAGCCTGGCAGGTCCGGGCGGGAGGCCTAGCATCGTGGATGGATACATAGCGCTCATGCCTAACAGCCGTGTTCTTAGTGAGCTGCGGGGCGGCGACAACGCCTGGGTGTCAGGTGTCCCGGCGAGTGACAGCCGCTACAGTAATCGACAAACACCACGACACACGCATGCTGCAGCAGGGTGTCAACTTGCAAGCGCCGATCTGGCGCCTTGGTGAAGACTATTTGGTTGTGTACAGAGTCACTATGATGCGTGCGGGCGTCACAATCGCAAGGCAGAACCGAGATCTTTGCGACCTCCTCCGATACCAAGTGCTTCGACTCAACTCTGTGCGCATAATTCCCAAGAATTTGAGAGTCACCGCTGCCTGCCGCACGTAACGCAGCGGCAGCGACCGGTTGTCACCCCGCGGCGGGTCTCCAGCGCACTCGCGCGCCGCGCATCCGCGAGAATGCGCCGCACGCGCAAGCAGGGCGAGGTGACCAAGCTCATAGGCAAGCTTGAACGGCTGGTGGTTGGCAAGCAGCAGGAGCTGGCGCAGCAGCATGTGATCCAGGGCGATCTGCAGCTGAGGGCGGAGGTGGCGCAGGTGGGCTTCCACACGCGGTTGCGGCCGGCTGCTGCGGCGCACTTGGTGACACGGACCATCCCTCATGGCCACGGCCAACACAGAACATCCCCCTTGTCCCGCATCGCGGCTTGCTGGCCGCTTCTCTCCTCCACATGCAGATCTTGGTTCGCCAAGCCCACGCGCTGATGAGCGCAGGGGAGGCGCTGCGGCGCCGCGCGGGGCCGGGCGGCGGCGGCGCCACGGGCGGCGCGACGGCGAGCGCGGCGGGGCCCGGAGCGGGCCTGGTCGAGCACGAGGAGGCATACGGCGGCGCCAAGGGCAGCGGCGCCAGCCGCTCTCCTCGAGGCGCGAGCGGCGGCGGCGGCGCTCTCTTTGCCCCCGCCCCCACGGCCGGCGCAGCATGCAGCGCAGAGCCGCACGCATCGGTCGCGGAGGCACCCCCTATCTGGAGGGTGCAGCTCCTTGACATGCTGCGAGACCTGGGCTCGGCCGCAGATGAGGGGGACGCGTCGCCGCACGACGTCGCTTTGGGTGACGACGACAGCGGCAGCGAAAGCATCGCCGGCGGCGGCGGCAGCGAGGGCGAGAACACCGGCCGCGACGGCGGTACGGGCGGGGCCGGTGGCGGCGCGCGCGCGGCGGCCGCGGTGGACGCCGACGACGCGGCGGTGCTGCAGGCCGGGGCAGACAGCAGCGTCGCGTCTGTCGGCGCTGAGTCAGCGGACGAGTCAGCAGATGCGTCGGGGCCCGGGCTTGGAGGGCGCCAGCGCGACCCGGGCTCGCCCCAGCGCCCGCAGCCAGGAGGCGGTGACGCAGACCGGCCCGCCGCCGGCGGCCACGATCGCGCCGAGGCACTGTCGGCGCCGCAGCCGCCGCCGCCGCGGGTGCGGGTGGGGCTGGGGTGGTCTCCAGAAGGCATGCTGGCCGTGGCGCCGTCGGTTGACGGGCGGCTGACTACACAGGGCTACAGGGAGCGGCTGCGCGAGTACACCCAATGCTGCTGCATCCTCCTGCCGTGAGCGTCCGGGCGCGCACATGCGCCTGCGGAGTGTGGTTGCGGGCGCAGGCCACTGGTTTTGCCCCCCCTGGATTTTGCACTGCGGCAGCGCACGCTCTATTTTGCAGCTGACCAGAGAGCTGGATTTCGCCTCCGCCGCTTCGGCCGCCGCCGGCGCGTCGCTCGTCCTGATGACACACCTAGAAACCAAATGCCGCGCGCCGCCGCAGGCGCCTCGGGAGCAGCGCGCCCGACGCGGGGACTGTCCCCGCGCGTCTCGACGCCATGCGGGCCGCTCTGCTCCAGTTCGGCAACCTGATGGTGTTGGGCCCCGAGCGCGGCGCGCCGCTGAGCGGCGCGATCCTCACGCCGCTGGACGCGGAGTCGCCGCCGCTGCCGGCCCAACAGCAGCAGCAGCAGCAGCCGCAGCCGCCCCCCGCCGCCCACTGGCGCTGGGCGATCGAGTCTCTAGGCCTCGACCCCCGCCAGCGCGCACTCGCAGCGACCCTCCTGTCCATGTGGCGCGCCCGCATGGCCGCGCTCACGCGCGCCCGCGAGGCGCTGGCCGCGCGCTGCGCGGCGCTCGCGGCCGACGCGGCGGCGCACGAGGCCGCTCTGTCAGACCTTGGCTGCGTCCAGGCGTCCTACATTCTGAATATCACGGTTTTTCTATTGGCGCTTTATGGGACCATCCTCACTGCCCAGCAGCACGCGCGGCTGTCGGCGGCCGCGTGGCCGTGGGCGCCGTCGCTGCAGAGCATCTGCATCGGGTTCCAGGAGCTCGGGTGGCTTGAGCGGACGCCCGTCGCGGCGCCGGCGGCTGGGGCCGGGGCCGCCGTGCCCGCGCCCACGCCGGCACGCTGAAGTTGTTTGGGTGCTGCGAGCACTTTGATACAAAATTTTCACGACAGCGGGTACAAAAATCGGCTTCTCTTCGGCCGCGTGCCATCTGTGTACGAGTAGGGCTGGTGACTCGCGCAGCTGGAGGGGCGCCTAAAACTGTTGATACACTTCCATCCATTTGCGAACGCACGTATTCACTTCGGGCGTGCAAATGAACGCTTCATCATAATCGGGCGGCCTCCCCCAAGTCATCCTGGAGGCTGCGCTTTGTCACACAAGCACCACACAGCCCTGTTACTCTGGGTCACCAGGGATGCGCCTGAGTGTCGAGTGTCCTAGCCCCGTGGCATCAACAACATTGGCTGTCCCTGATACCCCTTGCTGTCTGTCTGATTACATACGTGTATGTGTGTGAGAGAGAGAGAGAGTGTGTGTGTGTGTGTGTGTGTGTGTGTGTGTGTGTGTGGTGAGTGCGCGTGTGCGTGTGCGCGTTGCTGTGTGTTAATGTGTGCAGTGAGTGTGCGCGGGCTTGTTTGTGTGTGCATCTCTTGTGAACGTATCGCCGCCTTACAACGCAAGAGCAGCTATTTGGGTTCGATTCCAAACCTGGGACGCACTTTTTTCGGCCTCCTACCTACCCACTTCACCAAAGAGCGCTGGGATTGCGGAGAGACCCTCCCAAAGACTGGTCGGCTGACAACGGCCCCTGCGCCCGCACCCCACCTGTCTCCCATCGCACTTTTGGGCAACCGCCCACTTCCACTGCGTCTGCTTTAGTCCGATATGGCGGCTGAGCTGCGTTAGTTGCAGCTGCTGCCCGCATCCGCAAGCGTGCCTTGCTGCCCCGCTGCCTGCCCGCGCTACCCTCTGCCTGCGCCACAATCAGCCAACCCGCTTTCCTCTTGACCAGGGCTTTACGGGTCGCAGGCGACGCACTCAACGCACCAGCATGTGTGCGGTCGTTCCGCGCCATGTCGCCTGGCTTTGACCGGGTTTGACCGGCTTTGACTGGGGTCAGCTTCGGGGTTCTGCTGCCGTGGCCCGGCCGGGCCGATCGTGTCTATCTGTTGCTTGGAAAGCATGTGCGGCCGGGTGTGTAACGGTCCCACGTGTTACTGCCGCGGGTCAGACGAATGGGTGTGCGGTGTATCCAACAGTACCTTCTGCGCGGCGGTGCCAAAGGAAGAGAAGGGACCACGCAATCCCCGCGGCCCGGGCCATACCAGCAGGCGCGCGTTGGGGTATGGTGGGCGGGTTGCACAGCTTCACAAGTCCAGAAAAATAAGTTGGGGTCAAATTCTTGTCGACGCCGCGCGCTCGTTTGAGTGTCAAGACAACGCAGCGGCAGTTGGGTGGCGGCGCGGTAGACTGAGGGCCCCTGAAGAGTGGGTCCCGGGCACTCTGATCCAAACGGGCCCAACGGTACACCCTGGCAGCAGGCGGTGTCAACGGCACCCAGGAGTATGGCGCCTTCGCCCTGCACAAGCACGCGCCTGCGGCCAGGGAAGCGGCGCGCCGACCGCGGCGCGCGCGTCGCCGCGTGTCCTTCCCACGCTTGCGGGGCCTCAGGCTCAATTGAGTTTTTTGTCGGGGCAGGGCCTTTTCCGTGCTGTGCGCATGTGCAGACACCAAAGCGCCACAAGAGAGGAAGCTGGGACGTGACTGCGCGGTGATGCACATGTGTGCGTGTGTGCGGGGCCTGAGTATGTGCAAAGGGCGTGCAGCGGCTGCCGGGCCATGGGTGGGGCGCTATGGGGTTGAGGTGTACCCGCATCCAGCACCAGGACCAAGCCAGCGCAACTCAACTCGGGGAGGTCAACATTTGCAACGCCAGGCACAAAAGGGACCGCGGACGGCACGCCGCGCGGCTGGCTGGGCGGCTTGCGGAGAGGGGCATCGGCGGTGACCGTCGCCCCGGCGGCAGCCGCGCGGCGGCTCGTGCGACGGGGCGGGGCGTGGGGGCGGGTGATCACAGCCGGTTGCCGGCCGGAAGCCACCCCGCTTTGAACAAACTTTGACCGACACTCAAAAGCTCGCACGGGGCTCGGATCTGTCTGCAGCACAAGGGGCGCGGCGCAGCACCGACCGTGCACGGCCGCGGCAAATCACAGACTCGCTTGCTCGCAGCGGCCGTCACAGCGCGAAGCCTCACGCGCGACAGGCCTCCCCACGTGAAAAGGCGGGCACCCGCAGTGTGGGCGTGCTCGGATGCGGTTCGCTTCTCTTAGGGGGGGGGGCGGCACTTGCAAATCCGGGCCACTCACGGGTGACTCACAAGTGACACACGGCCGACACACTTCAGTGCTCCGATCAAAACTTTTGATGACTCCGATGCTCGTCCCTTCCTCAGGCCGCGGCGCTCCCAGGCGGGCGAGGCCGCGCCTGCCGCGCCGCGCTCGCTCTTGAGGCGAGCGGGTGTGCCACCAGGCAGGCCGCGGGCGCGGCGCACGCAGGGAGCGCGGCGCGGCGTCAGGCGGTGGCATGGGTAAGTGGGGGTATCCGCGGGCTGCCAAGCCCTGAAAGACTCTGCTCCAACGCACTGAAAAAACGCAGGGAGGCGCGTGTTCATTGCTTTGCCTGTCCAAACGGCGGCGCTCGATCCATCTCCAACGTACGCACACCAAAACACAGGCCGGCAGTGACAGTTGACCGCGGCAGCCGGCTCGCGGCGGGCGCTGGCGGGGGCGCGCGGGGTGCCGCGCGCGGCCGCGCGGGCGGCTCGCGCGCTAGGGCATCAAAAACTCATGGGAGCGAGCTCGGGAGGGCAACAGCTTTTGAGTTTGTCGGTCGGTGCATGCAACACACACACACACACACACACACACACACACACACACACCCAGACCCCAAACAGTTCTTTCGTGACTAATGGCTGAGGTGGGATCAGGGCAGGGGCGATTGTCGCCTAGAAAGGTGGCCCTGCCCCCGCCCCCCCCTCCCTCGCCCGGGCCTGGAAAGGTGGCCACACGCCCTCTCGCTTCAGCGCCGCCCGCAGCGGCGGCGCCTTTCTCGGAATCAAGAGTGCGTTCTCTCCCAGGGCGACAAAATTTGCACGCAGGGCGGGCCCTGGCGCGGCGCGCGCCGGCGCGGCGCGGGCCCGCATATGGTTGAAATGTACAATGTGGTGCGAGCGCACAGGCGCATCCTCGGTCCTCGGCCGCCCTCTGCTTCCTCGGACTGTGACTCCTCAGGTAAGCCGTCGCTCCTTGCACCTCAGATCACCAGATCTTCAGATCAGTCCCAGCGGTCATTGCTGTCTGCGTCGCTCAGCGACATGCCTATCGCCTCGAAAGAACCTCCCAGGTTGGCGCTTCCAATGGGAGTGGGGACGAACGCGCGCTCGATCGGGCTCCTGCGCAGCGCCACTCCCTGCGGGGCGCTCCTCAGCGGCACGCCCTGCGGCGCGCCGCCGCCGGCGGCCGCGCGG